ATTTTTTTTTATTTATATCTATCCCATTAGTCGAAGGTATTTACTTGCTTTAACAAGAAGATATATATATATACATATATATATAAATTTATTTTTGTTATTATTTTTAATCTATTTAAATTGTACAATATCATGAATAAATGAAAATTCCTTTCAGTTGATATCATTATGACGATTGCGTTTTCGATGATCTGAGAAAAGTAAATTTAGAAATCGTCTTTCTAATCGATTTCGTTTAGTAATAGCGTTTAAAATAGAATTCCACGAAAATCTGTATATTCGTTCGATCATATTTCATGAATTTTTTAACAGATAAAAATTTATTGTCATATTTTGTTTTTTTTTTTTTTTTTTTTCTAATAAGATACTTCATTAAGTTCAATCCACGAAATATTTTTTCAAGTTCGCGCAATAACATCGAATTATCTCGTCGTAAAATGCCTAATCAAAATCGTTATATTATAATAGATCTTCTTCCTTCTTTCTTTTTATTGATTATATTTCTTTATTATTATATTTGTTTGTTTCCTATTTTCTGTCCTTCTTTCTTGTTTTCTTCTTTTTTTTTTCTTCTTCTTTTTTTTTCTTTTTTTTTTTTTTTTTTTTAATAAAATGTATATCGAAGCTAAAGCGATAATCCCGTAGATCTATCGAAGCTCGGACTCATCGATTATACGTTTCTCTATTTGGAAATTTCGACGTCGGCCGATCAAAGCAATCGTTTAGCAATGCGGTTGTCATTGGCACGCTTCCTCCGTAAAGGCCAGAAACGATCGGTTGTTCTCGCTTATCGTATTTCGCCGATACCAAATTTATCGCATGCGATCTGTTCGAACGGAAAACGAAACGAAACAAAACGAAACGAAACGAAACGAAACGAAACGAAACGAAACGAAATGAAACAAAACAAAACAAAACAAAACGAAACGAAACAAAACGGAACAAAACGAAACGAAACGAAACGAAACGAAAGTAGCCAGGGTATAACCTGAGGGTCTTGAAATAATAATAATAAAAAAAAAAAAGAGAGAAAGAGAGATAGATAGATAAATAGAGAGAGAGAGAGAGAGAGAGAGAGGGAGAGAGAACAGAAAGAAAAAAGAAAGAAAAAAAAATTATATATACGGTCAGTGATATTTTTTCACGAGCCTCTGGTAAAATCCAAACAACTCGTTCGCTCTTTCGTTCGTTCGTTCGTTCGTTCGTTTGTTAAAAATGAAAGATCGTGTCTATAGTCGAATTCAACGATACGAATTTCGATGTTTGCCGACACTGTGAGATCGTTTTTTCGAAGTCACTGATTCGGTATTCACGTAAACGCGTTGGACGTCCCGTAGAGAAAGTCCTCAGAGAATTCTTGCGCACGTGCCAAAGGACCAATCGTTCAGGATCGTTCTCTCGATAGACTAACAACGATCAAATAATAGTTTAATATGATTCGTTCGATCATTTTACATATATGTGTACATACATACACACATATATATATATATATATACACATACTTACGTAGAATCGTTTAATAGACGTTAGAATTATATCGTAATCTGTTCAAATAGGGGAAAGGGAAAAAAATCATTTCGAATGGAAAAGAGAGAGAGAGAGAGAGAGAGAGAGATAGAAAAAAGAGAGATATAGAGAAAGAGAGAGAGAGAGAGAGGGGAGAGAAAAAAGTATAAAAAAAAGGAAAGGAAGAGAAAGAGAGAAAAAAGGAAAGAAAAGAAAGGAAAGGAAGAGAAGAGAGAGAGAGAGAGAAGGAAAAGGAAAAAAAAAAGAAAGAAAGAAGGAAAAAATAGAGAAAGATTCGTACACCATTTGGCATCCGTCGTTTCGTTGTCGGTTAACACAGCGGGGGGACCGCGGACGCCTCGACGGACACATTGAGGGCGCCCGTTCGACTTGATAATCGCTTGCCATTCATACACTTTTCATTGGATTGCGATTGAGCATTAAGAAACCAGAAAGCCGGGGGCTACGGAACGGGCTATCCACGGGCTAAAGCACGGGGCGCGAGTACGCGTATTAGCATTTGGAGGCATCATCTCGAGTGTAAACACTGCATGGGCACCGTGGATTTAGTCACAGTCTACCGCCACGGGACGTCCCCGATATTATCGTCCCTCTTTACCTTCGACGTCTTCCATTTAGCGACCTGCAACGCAACGACACACGAGTCACCATTAACGAGTTCTCCGCTCCAGATGTCCTAACGGAGATTGACCTCTTTTTTTTCTTTCTTCCTTTCTTTCTTTCTTTCTTTCTTTCTTTCTCTCTCTCTCTTTCTCTCTCTTTTTCATTTATTTATTTATTTATTTATTTATTTATTTATTTATTTATTCATTTACTGAATTTATTTTGTCAGAGTTGTCCACGAAGTTCCAAGCACTTTTTTATATTTTAATATATATGTGTGTGTACATGCGCGTATGTCTTTAGAGATTAAAATATGTTAATGTATTATTAGTATAACAATATTAAAATCATATTAATTTTCTTTGTAATTCTAATTACATTGAAACTGTAGTCAATCAGATTGAAGTACTTAACGATATCCTTTATTTTAATCCAGTGACTCGTCTCTAATTTTGTGATCTCTGATAAAAGATGGAAAAAGAAAATAATGAAGCATAGTTTCTATAGTTGACACTATTATTATTATTATTATTATTATTATTATTACAGGAGAAGTCAACAATGAAATATATATATATATATATATATATATATATATATATATATAAAATCGGTATTAAAGATTTGTGCCGTTTTACGGAGATAATGCTTTAGCAGCAAGAACTGTTAGGAAGTTGTTAGGAAACTTTAGGAATTTCAATCTTGAACACCGAGAATACTCGAGAAGAACTTCCAACACTGTTCATGACCAAACCAAAACATTGATCGAGAGGAATAACCGGCATTAAAGTACTCAAAATATTAGAGATATTAAATTTATCAAAAGCCACTGTTCAAGAATGTTTAGCGATGCTGAATTAATAAATTGGACCCAAACTTTTTAAACAAATCCAATAGATCAAGACTTTCCAAACTTTTACGAATCAAGAATCCACTTACCACGAACGGTCATCTTTTGGGATCCAGTCGAAAGTATAATTGCCGTGTTGTTAGCAATTCATTGATAGCAATTCATTGAATTCAAAATTATTTTGATACGATAACTCAATATAATTAAATCGATTTAACGATATGAACGAAGCTATCGAAAACCAAACGCAAAAAGTAATCATTATCAATGTAATGTTTTAATAAAATGTACATTGTAATAGTTACATCATTTTAAATGAATGTGTCAATTACATTCACATTTGAAATTATTTGTTTTACTATTTGATCAATACTTTGAGAATTTCTCGAATATACGAATTATTTGTTTCGATAATATATTTTCTCAATGCAATATGACAGCTTTGAATTGTTCATTCGATATGATATTCGATGTAGAAACAAAGAAAAAGAAAAAAATTTTTTTTTTTTAATTAACACATATTCAACAATTCGCACGTATTAATATTTTTAAACATATTAATTATTCAAATAAATTTGAAATTTTTTTCAATTTGACCGATACTTTGGGAAATTCTACGAAACAAATTATTAATTTTTTTTAAACAATTTCTTTTGACTATAGTAAAAAATTCGATAATAAATATTTACGAATAATTTCTAGAAAAGAAAATTCTGAGGTTAAGTTAATAATCATCCTTAAATAATCTGTTGATTCTAAGAAAGAAAAATGAGAGAGAGAGAGAGAGAGAGATAGATAGATAAATAGAGATAGAGATAGAGATAGATAGAAGTAGAGAGAGAGAGAGAGAGAGAGAGAGAGAGAAAGTGGTTTGTCGTCGGTTCTTAACCGGTCGATTCACAGTTAAAGCTGACGAACCGGCGGACGTCCGTGATCCCTTCTATCCGATCCATGAGGAGCCGCGAGGCGTTAAATCCCTCGGGAAAGGTTCGTAACGGAGGCTGCATTTGAGTTAAGTCGGTCAGCTTGGGACAGACCAAGTGAGAGAGAATCACAATAACACTGTTGTTCGAGATCTTTTTCTCTCTCTCTCTCTATCTCTCTCTCTCTCTCTCTCTCTTTCTTTTTTTCCTTCTTCAAAGTGTACGTATGTCTGTTATACGTGTAAATTCTTTTTTTTCTTTCGTTAAAAATTAGTTGTACCGATAAATCCGCGTTGATCTTTGACGATTGTTCAAAAGATCCTTATGGATTTCTATCGTATATAAACGTCAATTATCTCGATTGAAAGCAATCAATCCAATAAATTGGATTCTGTACGATGACAATACGATTTTTCAATTTTTAAATACTTCGTAATCCTTCGATGACAACGCATCATCGATCGACGAAATCATTTAATATAACAAATCTGAATATGCATCGGTCTATGACTGTTATCGAACGATATAGAGTTTTTCTTGTTTTTTTTTTTTTCTTTTTTTTTTTCATTCTTTCTTTCTTTCTTTCTTTCTTTTTTTTTTATCATACGTCAAACGAATAAGCGTGACAGTTACGATAATTCATCGAAAATGTGAGTTTGTTAATTTGAGAAAAGTCGAGCGATTATTTTCGTTTATATCTCTCTATTTAATTTGTCTTATTCTTGTCTTTTTTCAATTTTTGTCAATCTTTCTTTCTTTGATATCTTTTTTTTTTTATTTATTATTCTTTTTGTTTGTTTCTTAGGCTCGACGAAAGTCCAGAAGAGACTCCGTACGTGTCCGATGAACATAACGATGAGATCAATTACGATACAAATAATTCTTCAATGGGATTTATATCGTAAGATTACAAACGTTCGATTTCATTGACAATAACAAAAAAAAAAATGATTCAAATAATCTTTACATCTTTTGGGGCCGGGGCCGGGGGTGGGATCGCCTGGGATGGGGTTGGTTCTTCCTTTTTTTTTTTTTTTTTTTAATTATTTATCAACAGATACTTCGATATAACGATCATCATTGGAAAGAGTATCATGGGTGTTGGACTATTCGCTATGCCATATGCATTCTCTTGCGTTGGTCTCCTTTTTGGAATCATTTTCTCGATTGCTATGGGCTTTTTAATCACTATCACTCTACGATTACTTCTTAATGTTCATCATTTGATATCAATACGTCTTGAAAAGCCAATGGTCATGTACGACGAGCTCGTTGTCACGGTTCTGAAAATTGCCAATGAAAATATTCCCAAAATTCTTTTGGATTTGGCAAAGTTCGTATAAATGAAAAAAAAAAAAAAAAAAAAGAAAAAAAGAAAAAAACAACGTAGAGAAAAATGAAAAGAAGAATGGAAAAAAAATAATTTCGCCACTCTTCGTATATAATATAATTCGATCATTTTTTTCTTTTCTTTTTGTTTTCTTTTTTTTTCTTTTTTTGTTTTCTTTCCTTTTGTTTTCAGATACTTCACGAACATAATGTTAATTGTTTATTACGTCGATATCGGTGCAATTTGCGTGGACTTTATCTGTGACATTTTACGAAATATCGCAGGAATAGAGGAAAACAATTATCCTGGTCATTACATATTGATATTCTTTCCTCTTTTCATGTTAATTAATTTATCGGAAGATCTAAAGGGGATGATATTCAATTCGATGATCGGTAACGTTCTAATATTAAACGCTACGATTATTGGCCTAGTTTACTCTTATCAAAGTGATAACGGCAGCGTCAATTGGTTAATATTGAACAAAGAGCTCTTCTATTATCCCAGATTTTTCGGTATTGTTTTCTGCGGCTTATCGTCCCCAGGTTTGGTTAGTGTACAAAAGAAAGAAAGAAAGAAAGAAAAAAAAAAAAAAAAACAAAAAGTAAAAAAAAAAGATAGAAAGAAAACAAAAATTATTATTTCATTTTATTATGAGCGTATATCATTTAAACCACCACCTCCTCTCCCCCCATCCACCCACTTTTTGCTACAAACGAAATTTTATCTCTTATCAGATTTTAGCGATAGAACACAGTACGCGTAAGCTATGGAATTATAATGAATTATATGGTATATTGAAACAATGTATGACGATTATCGTTTGTATTCACATAATTGTTGGTATCGTCGGTTACGTTAAATGGGGTTCAAACGTATCGGAAAATTTTATTCATAATATACAGAAGAAAGGAGACGGGTAATATTGATTCTCTAGTTCATGATTAATTTAATAAATGTCTGAAATATATTTTCCAGGTATACTTTAATAGCATATATTACACAAGCTTTAGCAATTTATTTTACCTATGGATTATTATCTTACGTTCCTATCAATATAGTTTTAAAACGATACATTATACCGATAATAGAAATTAAAATACAGAAGGGAACACCGCATCTATGGGAATTGATCACTCGATTCGCCATCACTCTTCTCACGTGTAAATTATCCTTAATTATTTCTATATCTATCTCTATCTCTATTTTTATCTCTATCTCTATTTTTATCTCTATCTCTATCTCTATCTCTCCTTAATAAATAAAAATTAAATAAACTTATGAACGTATAATGGATTGTTTAATCGATTCGTTAAAACGAGTACGGCCAACTGACATCATTTTTTGTAAAAATAATTGCCGTACAACTACGAATATACAAATCGTATTTACCATTATTCTTCACCATTATTAATCACGGGTCGTCGCTTATGATTAAACAAATCAGCAAGTTTCTTTCCTCTCGAGCTAATACCACAAAATCTAATCTATAGTTCCTTTGGTTGATCGAGGGTTTTTTTTTATTTTCTTTTTATATTTGCTTTTTTCCCCACTGATTTTTGCAACAATCTATTTTAATACCGAGAGACCTTAATCAGTTCCTGATAATGAAACGAATTAAATTAATAACATTTTGGTGATTACTTTCATTTTGTTTTATTATCACTTTAAACGTCTACATTGTATTATAATTAAATTTTATCTAATGTAGAATTTTATTCGTCTTCTTTTTTTTTTTCTTTTGTAAACATCGTAAATATTTTAAAACGTTATAAAGATAGCCCTTTAGGATAATAAATAATTATTATGTTATTGTTTTATATCTTTCTCTTTTCTCCGTTCTCTCTCTCTCTCTCTCTCTTTCTTTCTCTTTTTCTCTTTTCCCCGTTATACTTTCAAGGTAAACTCGATGAAGTTCGATGGTCTGCAACGAATTGAATTTCCCGCGTACGTCGAGGGCAACTTTGACCTTTCTCGATCGATAAACCTATCTGATTATAATATAGTTAGTGTCTAGATATATTATCCAACGAATTTCAAAGATTATCCTTATGCTATTTCTTTAGATCATGTCTTTACCTCGTTTAAATTCGTTCAATAAAATATTTATATTTAGATCTCTCTACTTTTTTTTCTGTGTTTTCAATATTCTCTCTCTCTCTCTCTCTCTTTCTCTCTCTCTCTTAATTTCTCTCATTCCTTTCCTCTCTCCTTCTATCAATCGTGCCTTTGCTCTTCGTTCGTAAAAATCATAAGCGTGAATTTCGATATTAGATTGAAATTAATAACGTAACCTTCCTTAACCTTCATAGGTATTTTACCAAAGTTTATTCCGAGATTACGCCTACAAATTGCCCTTATTGGTTTAACTTGCAACTTTACATTGACGGTCATTATACCACTCATATTATATACTATCTTATACATCGAAGAATCCGAGGAAATCGAGAGATACAATAAAAAAGTGTTGACGTTAATTTTTTCCATTATCTTATGTATCATTTTTGCCTTATCCTGTTACATCATAGACTTGTCGTTGTTCCTGTAATGTAATCTCTAAGATTGTTAATTAAAAAAAAAAAAAAGAAAAAAATATATAAATAGTAATATTATATATATATATATATATATATATATATATATATATATATATATATATATTGCAATAGATAATTCAATTTTACGTAGCTTGTAACTTGTCTCCGGATATTTATAAAATCGATAAGAATTAAGAGTAAAAAAAAAGTAAAAAGAAAAAATATGCAAAACTTGCGATACAGTTGGAAAGAACTTCAGAGAGAGAGAGAGAAACCTTTCTTCGGGTTTTCTCAACATCGAATGCCATCCCTCTTTTCGAGTAAGTATCGTCCTACGTACATATATATATATATATATATATATATATATATATATATATATGTATATATACATAGACGTATATTGTACATACGTACGTACGTACGTAGTCTCTCGACTAGAGACGAGACGCCCCGGCCAGAAAAACCGCGAAAAAAGGCGTGAAGCGTGAGGCGAAAAAAAAAGCGAGAGTGAGAGACAGAAAGAGAGAAAAGAGAGAGAAAGAGAGAGAGAGAGAGAGAGAGAGAGAGAAAGAAAGAGGGAGAAAAAAGAGAGTAGCGCGACGTATAATCGCGTCAGGTCAGCGAGGCGTCAATGGCTGGGCTTATCACTTACACACGCGGAGAATACGAAGAAGGCTCGTTCGCGCGTACGCCTATGTATAATATCTATATACATATACATATATATATATATATATATATATAATATTATATATATATATAATATTATATATATATATAATATTATATATATATATATATGCGCGCGTATGAACGCATGCAGTGCTGGTAGCAGTTTGTCGGTGGGTGGATCTCGACGTCCGTAGGAAAAGGAACCAAAGCGGCGGAGTTTGCGGTGAGAAGGGGGTGGCTCGACCGACGGGACACGGAAGGGTGCTTTTATCATACTACAGAGAGAGAGAGAGAGAGAGAGAGAGAGAGAGAGAGGGAGATAGAAAGAGAAAGAGAGATATAGAAGGAGAGTTAGAGAGAAGAGATAGAGAGAGAGAGAGAGAGGACTACGTAGCCCCTTTTAGTGGCCACTGACACATCTTTCTATCTCACTCTCACGTTCGCTCACTCTCCTAGCTTTTTCCTCTTTTCTCTCTACTACATCTTTCTCTCTCTCTCTCTCTCTCTCTCTCTCTCTCTCTCTCTCTCTTACTCTTTCGGATTTCTACCCCTACGCGCGAACGAGCGACCTGCCTCTCTGCCTGCCCGTTCATCCGTTTGCCGGTTCAAGGTGGCTGCGTTCATTAACGTAGAGGTTGCCGGCTGTTCTCGGAGAAACCCCTCCCCCTCTTACTACCACTACTAGTACTACTACTACTACTACTAGTACTACTACTAGTACTACTACTACTACTACTACTACTACTACTACTGCTACTACTACTACTACTATAACTATTACTATTACTAAACGTTTGTTCGATAAATATCCTTTAATTGAACAATTATTTCTTTATGCCGATTAAAGATAAATTTTTAAGAAATTAATTTTTTCTTCTTATAACGCGAACGTATACATCTTCTATTTTCTTTTTTTTTTTTTTTTTTTTACAAAATTCTTTCAAAATAATATTATTATTTACGCGCATTTATCTTTCATTATTCCTTCTTATATTATGAATGAATTAAATGTGTAAATAAGTAAATTAAGTACGAACTTGAGATTTATATTAGTATAATTGCACCTGTTAGGATTAGAGTTAGAACGATTACTAGGGGATTATCGATAGAGAATTGGACGAGAGGGCACGTGCCTGTAAGTAACGACACGTTAAAAAATAGAGAGAAGGAGAACAGGGGAGAAAGAAAGAGAGATAGAGATAGAGTGAGAAAGAGAGAGAGAGAGAGAGAGAGAGAGAGAGAGAGAGAGAGAGAGAGAGAGAGAGGGAGAGAGTGGCTCTTTCTCGAAGCTTTTTCTTTCTAATTGGGACGAGAAACGAGGATGATGCTGGGGACAAAATTGCGAGGATTACCCGTCGGTCCGTGAACACGTGCACTTAAACGTCCACTAATTGCTCCAACGAGCTGCCCAAAGTCCTTCATTGCGACCACTATGTTCTTTACAGTGTCATCGTGTATACCATCGTCTATGGGTTTTCTTTTTTTCTTTTTCTTTCTCTTTCTTTCTTTCTTTCTTTCTTTCTTTCTTTCTTTCTTTTTTCTTCTTTTCTTCTTTTGCTTTTCGCCGACCTTTAAACACGAGCGATTACTTTTTTCCTTTTTCTCCTACCCCTCCTCCTCCTTCTCCTTTTCTTCTTCTTCTTCTTCTTCTTCTTCTTCTTCTTCTTCTACATGACATGGAACAAGAGATGATCGGAGTTTGTTTGGAGTGTCGTGCGAGGAGAGACATGAGAAAACCGCAAAGATAAATTGCGTCGACGGAGGATGTACGATATAGCGTGAGACTTTTTCCATAGTTGACGTAAGAGAGTATAAAAGGAGATAGATAGATAGATAGATAGAGATAAAGAGAGAGAGAGAGAGAGAGAGAGAGAGAAAGAGAGGGGGAAAGGGGGAGGGGGAGTGAATTTATCTTCCTGAGCCAAACAGCAGTTACGAAAAAGAAGATGATAAAGTTTCTGGTAAAAGTACAATAAAGAAAGAAAGAAAAAAAAAATAAAAGAGGAAAATAATATATATGCGAAGAAAAATGCAATGCTAATAACTCTTTTTTCTAATTAATAGCAATGAAATTAATTAATAGAAGTATTAGTAAATAAGTATATATGACTTGATATAATTATATATATTCAATTTATATGCAACAATGGAAGAAAAAAAGATAAATAGATAGACAGTAAGATAGAAGGGATATTTATCTTCACGAGTCAAACACGTTAGCGAAGAAAATGATATAGGTTTAGAGAAAAAAAAGAAAAAAAAGAAAAAGAGAAAATAAATAAATAAATAAAATTAGAAAAAATAATACACAAGAAAAGTGACACTGATAAATTTCTAATAGAAATAATTTTATAAGATAAATGAGAATATTTATATTATATTATATTATATTTATGGCTAGATAAATATATCTATGTATCTAATCTGTATATAGCTAAGATAGATAGATAGATAGATAGAAAGAGAGAGAGAGAGAGAGAGAAAGAGATTAAAAGAGAGAAAAATAGTGAATTTATCTTAATGAGCAGTAGTGAGATATATGATATAACTCATTAAAAAGAAAAAACAAAAAAAAAAGAAAAAAAAAAAGAAAAGAAAAGAAACGAAAGAAATACAAAAAAAGAATTATAAACGAGAAATAACACTGATAAATATCTAATGTCATTTTTACAATAAAAAGGAATAAACGCATTTATGACCAAACATATTTGTTTATGTAACGTAGAGAGAAAGAGAAAGAAAACAAAAAAAAAGAAAGTAAATTTATCATTACGAGACAAAGACGTGCGGTAGTAGCGAGGAATATTTTCGAGTTGTGGTTTAGTAAAAACAAAAAAAAAAAAAAAAAGATACAAAGATACAAAATCGAAAGTACAATGTCAATGAATATTTCCAATAGAAATAGAATTTTATAAAAGATAAACAAGCATAGGTAAATATATATCTATGATCATATATATACATATATATACCTATGTATCTAATCTATGTACAACAAAGAGAGAATGAGAGAGAGAGAGAGAGAGAGAGAGAGAGAGAGAGGGAGAAATAGAGAGGAAAGAGAAAATGGTCTGGCAAGGGTAGACGGATGCTATGGACGGATAAGCAGATATTAACCAAGTCGATGGTAGGTAGGTATAAGGGGAAAGAGAAAGAGAGAGGAAGATATATAGATAGAGAGAAAGAGAGAGAGAGAGAGAGAGAAGTAGTAACGCGTAGCAACCAGAAGGGGTTTGCTCGCGGCTTTCCTCGCCTCTCTTAGGATCTCTCGTAAGTTCTCTCCTCTCTAGGCGAGTCCTAACGTTTGGTAAGGTGCACCTCCTTAGCTGCCGTTCACACCGTCGGAAACGAGGAAGCCGGGGCTTCTCTTATCTCGAGTCTGCAAGACTGCCTCCAGTAATACCGTTCCTCAATGAACACGCTGGAACCCCCTTGAACGACCCAGAACCCCCGTGAAATATCGCTAAACGGTTGCTACCAAATCCACCCAGTTACCACCTACCACCTACCACCATCACCACCTTCCTTCAATCGTTTCACCCTTTATCCTTCTCTCTTCTTCTTCTTCTTCTTTCTCTTTTTCTTCTTCCTCTACTTCTTCTTCTTCCTCTTCTTCTTCTTCTTTCATATTTTCTTTTTTTTTATATTAAAAGGATCGATTTATTTAAAATCATTTTTACCATAGTCAACTCCTACTCCGTTCTCTATTTATAATATTTTCAGTCTGACGTCCAAGTGACGTGTTATCGTCGATTTGTCATCGATTAATATTCGTATTGTTCAACGACACGAAAATATAGAAATAATAACCAAATTATTATTACTTTTCTTTTTATCGTTTTTTCTTTTTTTCTTTTTTTTTTTTATTTCTTTAATCATCACCTCGCAGTGATACTTTACGACTAAACTAAACGTAAAATAAACGTCTCTCTTCTTCGCCCTTTTCCTTTTCCACTTCTTCCTTTCCTTTTTTTCTTCTTACTCCTTTTTCGTAAATCTTTTTCTTTTTTTTTTTTCTTTCTCTTTTCTTTTTCTTTTGTATTGTCTTTCTTCTTAACGATCAATTAAATCGCATCAAATCGCCGAGAACATAAGGAGGAATCCTTGAATACACAATTAATATCGCTAACGTGTAAGTTCGAGTAGAGATTCTGCAAATGGGGAGGGCTGAGTGAGGGTACGGTAGGAGGGAGGAAGGGGGGATCTAAGATGGGGGAGGAAGGGTGGAAAGATCAAGGATGGTTTGGGTTGCGAGGATGGGATGGAAAAGAAGGGAGGGGGGGTGACCCGTTAGACGTATACCGTCTAAATTTAGGCTGAACAGAGAGGGATATATCCTTA